CTCGGACCGATTTCTAGCATCGTGGACACAAGGCTTTACTGGGAGAAGCGTTTCCTTTCTCTAGTAAAAAGATCCAATAAAATTATAACCTAAATTCGTACGTATTTCCAAGTGCTTCAGAAAATCGTTTTCTCGGGCGTATTTAATTTGCGATTAAGCAGAGAGGTATTGTGCTTTCACGTGCTTCAGAGAATCGTTTTCTCGGACGTGTTTAATTTGCGATTAAGCAGAGAGGTATTGTGTTTTTATATTTGTTTCAGTTTTGTTGTATTGTTTAATTAGTTGATGCTGTTATTAATCGTTTTCATTGTTAGTAGCTGATTTCTTGTAAATTATATAAATTTCATGTTTGTTAACCATTTTTTTAATTTTTCAAAAACTTATACATGTGGATAATATTATTTAATAAATCAGTCACTAGCAATGAAAACAATTAATAATAGCATCAACTAATTAAACAATATAACAAAACTGAAACAAATATAAAAACACAATACCTCTCTGCTTAATCGCAAATTAAACTCGCCCGAGAAAACGATTCTCTGAAGCACGTGGAAGCACGTACGAATTTAGGTTATGATTTTAATGGATCTTTTTACTAAAGAAAGGAAACACTTCTCCCAGTAATACAATATGGCGGTTACTGGATACTATACTGGAAATCAGCAAATGGGAACACACTCTATGTACGACATCCATCATACATCTGGGGGTCGATTGTGTATCTTTGATGACTTTCCTCACCTCTCGTACTTTCATCTCACATGAAAAAATACGTGCGATTAGCTATGAGCATAGTGAAAATGCGATATCCCTATGCTCACTAGAGTCAAAATTACAGATGCGAGTACGGTTGAATGAATAGCATAACCTTAATTGTAGAAAATGGTAGAAAGTTTCGAGACTTCCGAGTACATATGTACATATGTAGAGCCCGATTGTAATTTAAAACAAAATATAATTTTCTTTTATCTAATACGTACCTATATAATTTGAGAAATGTGTTATCTGAAACATCAAATGGATTTTGTGTATCTCTTAAACTTCTCCCCTTATTATATTTACATTTTTTGCCGACGTCTATTTATATCTCTCTCCTCTTCCATCAGTAATGCAACAATTAAGTCCATTATTTATATTAATCTCGATGTATACTATAACCAATACGATGCAAATTTCCGCAATTTCGACACAATTCGGCGCAATTTGACTGAATTCGACATCTAAGTTCTTGTCGGGCAATGTTACGTGAAAAATATCACATTTTCCCTATAGTGAAATTTAGCCAATCAAGTGAAAGCTCACTTTTATGATTTTCACTAGGTTTCAAGATACACAATCGACCCCCAGACATTCATTGTTAAGCCTCATCTACAATAGTCGCACAAGCCACAGAACATGTACTAAGAGAAATGAAAGCTCTATTCATAAGATGGGCAACAAATAAAGTCACTAGATTTATAAAGTACCGCAATCATTCCGCCATTTTGGTTCCAACATGCGGTTCATTCAAAACATGCATATGAGTATGAATGTGTTTACACAACAGACAGATTAAATACATTACACTTAATGTGTAGATACGTTATGAAAATGAGTACTATTTACACTATTCGACGCCATTTTGGCTCCACATCCTTATACATTGGTCTTAAGCCTTGTGTACACGATGCTAGAAATTGATCCAAGTTCTCGATTATTTTCGATCCAAGAAAATGTCACTAAAACTCGAATCGTGGACACAGGCAATTCGAATAAATATCTCGAATAGAAGCCTCGTACAAAAAATCCTGTCCCATTTTTCGTAGCTAGTAGCTAGCTGCTTCATTTTGAAGCGTTTGTAGCATCAAGTGGACCGTTGCCCAGAACGACTTGAGCCTTCGAGCCGGTAGGACGCGTGACGACGAAGCCAATATTTAAAGCAATCCATTACGGTAATGCAAGAATAAATAAAGAAAGAATGTTAAACAAGAATAAATAAATTAAACAGAATTAAATCGATGGATTCTTGTAGGACATAATTAAATCGATGGATTCTTGTAGCAAAATTAAAATTATGGTAATTATACAGAATACCTCCCCCATCTTCGATTTCTATAAAATTAGGCTCATTCGACGCGTTTTTGCATGAAACGAAAGAATCTGGCAGAAATAAGTGTTGCTCTGCCCCGCGAACCGAGATATGTAGCTTAAAATTGACGACTATGGAGGTTAGGAAATCTGTCACGGCCACATTACCGCTATGCGTTTTGTCACTTTTCGATTCAATAGAGTGCACGAACTTCTAAATCAACGCTATAAAATAAATAAAACGTCGAATGAGCCTAATTTTATCGAAATCGGAGGTGGGGGAGGTATTCTGTATAATTACCAAAATTTTAAAATGTATAAATGAAAATAATTAAAATATAACAATATATTTCTGCACTAAAAAATATAATTATCAATTTTCAGGAAAACATGGATAGAGATAACGTTCGAACTTTGTTGTTATTGTATCAACAACATCCATGTTTATACATTGTAAAATCTGTGGATTATCATAATCGTATAAAAAGAGAAAAAGCTTTACAAATAATATGCAATCAGTATACAGAGATCACAAAAGAACCAATAACAATAGAAATCGCAAAAAAGAAGATCAACAATTTAAGATCACAATATTTAGATTATCTCAATAAAATTAAACAATCAAAAGCAAGCGGTGCATCAGCTGATGAGATTTATAGACCTACCTGGTGGTTGTATGAGGATATGAAATTTCTTGATCCTTATATTGCACAGAGAAAAGGAGAATCTTCTATAACAGAAAGAGTGAGTAGAAACAAAAAGATACTTGAAAGTTATAAAAATATTATAATTAGATAAATAACAATAGAAAAATAATGGTAATTTATAGTTTTCTAAGGATGAATCAGAATCTTCAACAATGAACAGACTACTAAATGAAGACGATACGGACAATTTACAACTAATGGATGTATATAATGTTTTAAAAGACCATGATAAAGGTGAGAAAAATAGATTGTTATTATATTTTATAATAGAATATTTTAATATATTTATATCACGCATGTATATGTGTACGTATATACATATTTATAAGAATTATAAATTTTTGATTTATTTATAATTATTATTTTTATTTATTTTATGTAGAAAATATCCATGAAGATATTCAGTCGTCCCCTTCAATGAGTCGCACTTCAACACAATCACGTACCGCAACACCGTTATCTAAAAGAAAAAAATTTGAAATGATAAAATCTGAAAGTGTATCCCCTGAAGCTACAAACACTTTTTGGTCAAAGGCATCGACTGCGATTGAATCATTAGTTAAAAATGAAGAAACAGAAGATGGCTTGAAACATTGGATTCTATATTTAGAGGAGTTACGCAAAATTAAAAATTTGAAAAAATTAAAAGGTTTGCAAAGAAATATTGCATTAGTAGATGATGCAGATAGTGATTAAATAACATACTGTTTTTTATATCGTTCCATTTTATTATTATTCATACAAATGTTTATATATGTTGTGTTAAAAGTATGTGATAATTATTTTATTACTATAGTGAGTAACGTACGTATGAGTATGTGATACAAAATTATTTTATTACTATAGTAACGTACGTATGAGTATGTGATACAAAATTATTTTATTACTATAGTAACGTACGAATGAGTATGTGATACAAAATTATTTTATTACTATACTTATTATTGTATTCTGCTATCAGCGATGTAAAATATAACATATAGAATATAAAATATAACATATCTATAAATACTTAACAAAATTAAATCATAGCTTCTTGCCATTCAACTCTTCCAACAGTATTGAAATATTGTTTAAAAATATCACGAATATAAATTGCATTTCTACTAGGTCTTATGTTTACAACATCTAAATTATGTAACTGTACATTATTATTTCTCCATGTGCCAGGTATTACGGTTTCATTTTCTAAATCTTCAATATCTACTCCTTTTAAAGAATTATTTTCTTTAATGATATAATTATGTAAAACGCAGCAAGCAAGTGTTATATTTTGAACTGATTCTACGGATAAATATATTTGTGTTAGAAGAACACGAAATCTGTTAGCTAATATGCCAAAAGCATTTTCAACTACTCTTCTACCTCTACTTAGTCTATAATTAAATATTCGCTCATCATGAGACAAGTTGCGTGATGGATAAGGTTTCAATAAGTGATTTTGCAATGGAAAAGCCGCATCAGCTAAAATAACAAAAGGAATAGGCTGATTCATACCAGATAATGGCTTATCTTTTGGCACATTTAATGGATTTTGTGGATCATTTATATATTTTGCCAAATCGCTTTCACGAAAAACTCCTCCATCGCTTACTCTACCATTAACACCAACGTTGACATATATAAATTCATAGTGAGCATTAACTAATGCTAATAAAACAATACTGTTTGTACCCTTATAATTATAATACAATGATCCTTGACTGAGAGGAACTTTAAACTCAATATGCTTGCCATCCATTGCACCGATGCAGTTTGGCACATTCCATTGTCTCAAATAATTATCAGCAACATGATTCCATTCTTCTTCGGTATCTGGAGTCTAAAATATTATGTATGCTAATTATTATGTATGTAAATATTATTTGAAATATTCATAGCATATTCGATACAAGGAAATAATAATTATAATTTTAATAGTTACCCTTAAATATTAATCTTTTAGTACTTCATAGATGACTCTAACTATCTCAGGAATGATACGTGATAAAGTACAAGCTGGTACTCTTGTTGCGAATTCCATGTTGCGAAAAGATTCCCCAGTAGCTAAGAATCTTAGAGTCAAGGATAGTCTTTGAATTGGTGGAATGCACTTTCGCATAACTGTATCTTGTTTTTGAATATATGGAGATACTTTATCCAACAGATTGTTGAATAATTGAAGATCCATTCTAAAGAATCTACAAAAAGATTCTATATCTTCGTTGATAAGTTCATTGAGTGCTAAGTGAACAGATCCTCTTAATTCAAACTCTCTTCGTACAATCCACTCTCTTGTCCACCATCTCCGTTGTCGGTTTTGTAATTGTCGTATTCTCCGTTGTATTTCTTGCTCTTCTTGTTGTTCCGCAACCACAGCAAAAGCTGCAAGAGTCAGCAATTTCTTTAATTTTGTCTTTCTTGCTGAGTTATTCATGTTCAAACTATGATACAAGAACAAGGTTATGTTTATGCGCATATAGGTACCACGTGATCATCACGTGACAAAACTAACATACATCACGTTTCGAAGGAGAGAAAGAGAGGGGTTGTGTATACATATAAACCTCTCTTTCTCTCTTTTACGAATGTGACGTAGCTGGTTGAGATGCGCAGTGGGTTTCCACGGGATGAGCATACCCTTGTCTTTATAATACCACGTGATCATCACGTGACATAAAACTAACATACATCACGTTTCGAAGGAGAGAAAGAGAAGGGCTGTGTATACATATAAACCTCTCTTTCTCTCTTTTACGAATGTGACGTAGCTGGTTGAGATGCGCAGTGGGTTTCCACGGGATGAGCATACCCTTGTCTTTATACCATAGGTCTGTTTTTTATTGCTGTACTCTGAACCGGTGCAATAAGTTGAAGTGAAACAAACGTACATTTGTTTCACTTCAACTTATTGCACTGTGTGTACTAGTTCAAAAAGTGCAGCAATAAAAAACAACAACTTATTGCCCTGTGTGTATTAGTTCAAAAAGTGCAGCAATAAAAAACAGACCTCATGGTTCAAACTAACACTGTGAATAGATTAGGTTATGTATTGGGTTGTCCGGAAAGTCCGTGCGGATTTCTCAATAGATTTCCGAAAAAAACCAGGACTTCTACGAGAGAGGAATTCTGAAATTATCCGAAGGATGGAAAAGTATTTGTGCAAAATAATGGTGCATACATTATAGATTAAAATTATTTTTAACTAAAAAAATTTGTCATTCAAATTTTGCTTGAAAATCCGCACGCACTTTCCGGACAACCCAATACATTAGTTCTCTTCAATTAAAAGCAATTCGTATTTTAATTTCACATATATCAATAATTTTTAATAGTTAAAAAAATATTTGTAGCTTTATCTATTATATTTCCCGAATAATCAAAATAAATTAAAATTTACTCAGACCTGAAGGAGCATTGATACTGGATATACTGTTTCATGCATTTTTCATTATAATTATTTAGCTAAATGATTTCAAACTTTTATTGTATTAAACTTTTATTGTATTAAAATTTATTGTATTAAATTTTATTGAACAAACTTATATTTATTTCAAAATATTATTTTTATTTCAATGTATTTAAAAAATAAGAATTTCACTTGTAAATTCTATACCAATGTTGATACAAATTACGCTTTTTCTTCAGTTACAGAATGGCCGCATCTCAAATCAATGTAATTATTAAGTAAATCCGTTGAAAAAAGGAAAGCATGTCCGTACTAAATAATCCCTCGAGATTTATATCATATAAATTACGAAAACATGTATTATCGTTGTCGTACATCAGCGCACAATGATTTTCCGATCCAATACAGGGTACCTATCATGGAAGAAGTCGGAATGGATTCCGATCGGAATTATTCCGTTTATCACTAGATGTTACTAGATGGATTATCATGGACAGTTGGATTGTTTCCGAAACGGTCGAAAAGTTTCTGGTACCTCGCGAGCTAGCGAAATGTCGATTCCGATCGGAATCAAACATTGAGAACGTGAGAACAAGGATAAAGTAGGGATACTTAAACCCTTGGAGGTTAAGTCTCGAAAGATCGCTTGGCTGACAAGGGACCATCTCGGTTTGTACAACAAGTTATTGAAAATGCTTGATATCAGTGAAAGTTGATAACATAAGATGCAAATAAGGAAAATGGCGGGACCGGATATGCCGTGGGTTCCGAGAAATTTAATGTTATAATGCATGGTAAAAGTTCTAAAATGGCTAATATCTAAAAAAATGATTTATCTAAAAAATGTTTGAAATAAAAGTAATAGGATTTTTAAAAAGTTATCAGATGATGATATTAATTTGACCTTAGAATGACCTTGGAAAGTGCTTTCAAGGTTAACACAAAAATCTTAAACGGTACTCCTTATTTTTCATAGTGTCACGAGTGACATTGCACAAACATGAAAGGTAGAGCGTTAATATATAAGCGACTCGATACCAAGAATTAAAAAAGATTATAAATA